GAGAGAGAGAGAGAGAGAGAGAGAGAGAGAGAGAGGTGTGACCTCCCGGAACCGTACCAGTTCGGGTTGGCAATAACGATAACTCAGTTTGGGAACTTCTTCATGGCCATTTTGCTTCGCATTATTTGAAGACATGTGTCCATGAATTTAGGTTAAAATTATTCTTTTTAAATTAGTGTTTAATCATCAGTTAAATCTTCAGTACAACCTTGCCAAAGATTCAGAACTAACCTTCGCGACCGACTTGAGAAATCATTTAGCAAAATAAGAAAGAAGTATAATGCATAACTATTTGAATAGTTAGCAATTTTGACTTTTGGTTTCATTCTGTGAGACTTTTGTTGCTGCAGATTACTATTTTGGTTGACTTTTATACTCACCAAATAAATCATTTCCCCCCAGAGACATTTAAACCTGTATTTATTTTATACCCAGTGGTTTGTGCTATCCATGTTGCCCAATTAGTTCTTATTAGGTTGATTAGAAAACTATTCACATGTTGGTTTAAAAAATAAAAATAAAAAAATCCAAAGTTCCTTGATTTTTGTTCATCAAGAGCCGCATTTGTCCATGGTTAAAACAAATGTTTAGCTTGGGAACGTGCTAGAACTCTTGGTATGAGCTCGAGTCGTGATACATTGTCAGAATGGTAAACCGATTGAACTACCAAAAATATATATGAAGAGACTAATAATAAGAGGGGCTGTGTGATTATTTTAAAAATACTGATCGAATATTGTGTGTTTCGTTTGGTCTAAATAGTACACTGTATATTGTGGATTTTAGGTATATCGTATTTTTTTTGTAGCTGGTGGCATTAATTCAACCCTGCGTATGTTTTGAACTTTGGGCATGTTTTCTTGGGTTCCTTTCATACTGAAATTTTCCAGCCCTTTTCTGGATAGTAATTCATTGTCATTGTGGTCCACTGGGGTCCACTAGAAGTTTGGTGACTGTATCTAGTTTTGAAAATCTTCTTGATGATTTTGTTGCCTTGTTTGATTTTTTAGGTATATACTTATTGTTTAAAATTGATTGATTGAATGAGTCAAGTGCTAGCAATTGCCTTTCACTATTGTAGATAAGAGAGAGAGAGAGAGAGAGAGAGAGAGAGAGAGAGAGAGA